GAGAGAGAGAGAGAGAGAGAGAGAGAGAGAGAGAGAGAGAGAGAGAGAGAGAGAGAGAGAGAGAGAGAGAGAGAGAGAGAGAGAGAGGGTTAACTCACTGGGGGGTTGCTTTTGGCACATGAAAGTGCGGTGAGTCAAACTTCTGATGCGGTTTTTGGGAGCATGAGTCTCGCTGTATATTATTTGTCTGATTATGTAGTTAGTTAGGAACGTTGATCTCCACCAGAGTGAAGAATCTTCAGAGTGAAAAGTATCACCTTCCTTGACCGAAGGGTTTCCCCACATACTGCAACATGCGGGGAGGCTTGTTCTGCCTGATTTGGGTTTGGCTTTCCTGCTACAACTATTTTGACGTACGTAATAACATCCAAAGCGCCAGTAGGGCATTTTGTCGGTGTAGTGCAATCCCTTGTCTGTGGGGTGATAAGGAATACACGGAGTGGGTGCTGGAGCCGTGTATCGCCATCACTTTGGGGCAGGGAAGCTACCCCCTTTTTCATGTAATAAATGGGCTATCTGACACACGTCTTATCAATTTCGTGATTATCACAGTGCCCGCGATGCAAATCTCTCAGTTTTGTATCCGAATAGGGCAATGCTTGTCAGTTGAATCGAGAGGGAATGTGTAGAGGGGGGCCGATGGAGGCCTGTATCTGCCATTACTAGGGGGGTAGGGAAGCTGTCCCCTTTTGCATTAGACTATTATTATAAATAAATGCTCTACCTTTGCACCCGTTCAAGGTGTGATTTTGCTGATTATGCTTGTGCCTGCGATGCGAAGCGTGTGTATTTGTTTTATTGTTCTTTCTTCGTTTTTTTTCTTTTTCTTTTTAAATGTACCTTGCAGGCTTGCAGCCGTTTAAGGTGTGAATTTCACGATTACGACGGTGCCTGCGACGCAAAGCGTTTTATTTTTCTTTCTTTCTTTTCAAATGCAATTTCATGACCTCTTATATCTCACTGGACCCCTCTTGCCCAACCTTTGCAGCTCTCATGGTGAATATCGATTTAATCTGAAAGGGAGGGGAAGGGATTGGTTGCCTGGGTCCCCTGGAAAGGGAAAGGGGAATGGAAAGATCCTCTGTCAGGCATGGGATTCCCTCTTATTGCAGTCTGAATATGATATGGGCATTATGGTTCGAGCTGCCAAAGCGCACTTAAGCCTCTACAGCTGTTGATCCCAGTGGCAATGCTCGTCGGCGTTGGCGGGGCCATGGCTCAAATGACTGATGGGCAACCACCCGTGGCACAAATGTGGCGCCAGTGCACAGACCTGGTCGTACGACACCCCATGTTCCCTACTTGGCACAAATGTGGTGCCAGTGCACCCTGCTTTATATGGGGGTTGGGTGACAGCGATCTTGGAGGCAATCCTTCTTTCACACACCCCTTCCTGTTGCTTTGCATGCTGACACATGTTTTGTTCTTCTTTTTGAGTTGGTCCGACGCTGTGTAGCATCGGGTTCGGGTTCGGTGACCGAATGCGAACGTTCGCGACCGAATGCGAACGAGCGCCAAAACCCTCCGAACTCGAAAAAAAAAAATCTTAAAAAATATGTTATGTAAAATAATAATACAAACAACTTTTACCTGGGAGGTATGCTCAAATTCGCAACCAAACTCGGGTTAAAAATCAAACTCCCCCATAAACGTTTTTCACTTTTGCTTTTTTATTTTAATATGTTCGGCCGAACACATTTGGACATTCGGAAAAGCACCGAACATGTTCGGTGTGCTACGTAGGTCCGATGATGAATGTTGGACCCCGATGCACAGAGAGCTGGGCTTTGTACCTGCATGACGCTCTGTGGAAAGCTGCATAGGGTCACCATCTTACCCAGCTCCACAGGGGCACCATGTTGCTGAGTCGCTATATGGCTTTTAGTCACCCGCACTGTGGTCTGCGCAAAGCTCCGTACAGATTTAGTGCCATATAGTTGCCAGCTCAATAGCTGCTGTGCGCTATATGTAACTGGTATTAAACCGCCAGTACACGGCGACCCCAGCTTTGCTGAAAATGCAACTTGTCGCCTACATAATTTTTGGCTGCCCGGGGGGCTTACCCAACCACCATGGCTGGTGGCGCCAGTCAAGAAAGAAAGAAACTGTGCCGCTGGCGGTTTGGAAAAGAAGCTTGGCGCTCACTGTGCAGTAAGGCGCCTCCCTCCACGCCCGTGTGTACTGGTGGTGGTTTGACAATCCCCCCCATCCCTGAGTCCAGTTTACCGCTGTATAATCCTGAAGACCACCATTCTATCAGTTACTCCCCTATCCGAGGCCTGCTTATAAGGGGATATGGAATTTTCAATCAAAATTTTCAATCAATTTCCAAATTTTGGTTATGCCGAAATGGAATTTCCAATTTTCCAATCAATTACCGAATCTGCATCATCGCCAGACTCGTCGGTTCTCTCAACTTCCCAATCAGGTGTCAATTTTCAATCAATTATCAATTTCGGGTTATGAAAACTTCCAATCAATTATTACCAAAGTGCAGGTCATCGGGTTTTGCGACTTCCCAGTCATCAGCTCACATTCCCGCTCCCACAAAGTGTAAGACCCTAAGGGGCCCCATCCCCATCGTCTCCTATGGTTAGGAATCAGAGCTACCAGGTCCTTGCCTGTCTGAACATTCCGACTTTCCGGTCCGGTCCTGTCTGAAAATCTGGACAGCTTGAAAAGCCTTTCTTTTTTTTCTTCTTTTCTTCTTCTTCTTCTTCTTCTTCTTTTTTTTTTTTTTTATTTAAATAAAGATTCTGGTATAGGGATTTCAGACCAAGTGGAGCACAAATCTCTCAAACGGTCAAACCATGTATATGTGGGTCAACAGGGTCCGTCCGAGGGATTATTGTTCTAGCAAATTAGTAGCAATGGTTTACAGTTTACGGCGGTGGGTTGAAGGGGCTACTTCAAAAGGTTAAATAATGTTTCTGGGTAAATTAAACTAAATTTAAAACTTTTTGAATTTTATTTTGTTTTTTTGCAGTACGTTTACTGCAAAATTACCAAGTACTTTTCCTAGCCGTTTTTTTTTCCGACCTGGCCGTGCATGTGCATACGCTTTGAAACAGCTGGGGCTCAGCCCGCCAGAGCTGAATGGCTGGTGGCGCCAGCCAAAAGAGGCGCCTGTGCCCGTTCTCGTGTTTGTTGGTGCACAGGGGGAAATCCACGTCAGCAAAAGAAAGCGAAGTACTGGTGGAATTTGGGGACAACCCTCTGCCTTTTTTTTTTKTTTTTTKTTTTTTKTTTTTTTTTTTTKGGGGGGGGGGGGGKGGGRGGGGGGSGTTTGGGAGGGGCAGAGTTGTTTTTCTTGCTATGTCCTAGAACCTTTTTTTTTTTTAAATAATAATTATTAAAACTATGCTATATTCTTCTCTAAAATCTTTTCTTTTAAATTCTGTCAATTCACCTTCACTACCTACCTACCACTACTCCTAAGGCTTATACAGGGGAACCCTGCGAACATAGCTTTGTTGTCGTCTCCCTCCAGCCGTAGGAGGGGATGCATGTTGGCCCCCGCCCCAACCATGGTGGTCAAGGATGGGGTGGGGCCGCCTGTGGGGTTCTACGGCTAATGCAAAGACTGAGCATTTTGCCAGTAGGTGCACGTCCTTTTCATCGTACCCCACCCCCAACTGAATAACAGCAGTGTCCGAGGCCAACACTCTCCCACACACCACACACAACCCACTCACACTCACACTCAACACCCGTGCTGGCCAAGGACCCTGCTAATATCAATCAGAGGTATCAAGCGGACTATCACCACTGGTTGGCACTAAGTGCGGCGCCGTCGGTTGTGCGGCTCGAACCCACAACCTCCTGAATGCCACTTATGTGCCTAACCAACTGAACTAGGCTGCTTGATTTTTTTTATTATTTTTTTTTCAAATGAGTGTTATCCTTTATGATTTTCCAGAATTGTTTGGTTTTCTGTCCCCCCAGCAATTGCCCCTCCCCTTGCTGCGAGGAACGCCTTTGAACTAGCCCGCTGAACAGATCATCAATGGTATGATGCACCTTGCAATGCACCACTTGGTTTGATCTGAAGAGTCGGCGCTCATATCACCACTCCTAACAACCTTGGGACGTGAGTTACAGGAGACCCTTTATTTGTACTGGCAAT